CTCTGTGTGTGTGTGTGTGTCTCTCTCTCTCTCTCTCTCTCTCTCTCTCTCTCTGTGTGTGTGTGTGTGTGTGTGTGTGTGTGTGTGTGTGTGTGTGTGTCTCTGTGTACATTTCCCCCGCCTCTTCCCCCCACCCCAAACGATCACCGGCGTTGTGCTCCGCTGCCGGCGCTGCGCGGCAATAGTGCGTATGCACGCTGGGATGGGATGGGGAACGCGCTGAAAAGAAAGAGACAGACACAGATAGAGATAGATAGATAGATAGATAGATAGATAGATAGAGATAGATAGATAGATAGATAGATAGATAGAGATAGATAGAGATAGATAGATAGAGAGATAGATAGATAGATAGAGAGAGAGAGAGAGTCAGCCCGCTGGTGCTCCACTGCGCGGAAAGAGTAAGCATGCACGGGGCAGCGGCAGCGCGGGTATACGGACTGCCTTTCCACACACACACACACACACACACACACAGAGAGAGAGAGAGAGAGAGAGAGAGAGAGAGAGAGAGAGAGAGAGAGAGAGAGAGGTGGCGGGATGAATCCACCTGCATCAGGACAGTGGGCCGACACTGCCCGTTCATAGACACAAGTCCCTTACGGGCCTACTGGGCCACATTCACTCACGTTGCAGCGATGGGCCATTACAACGTTTGTCCGGTTTAATTAGAGTGAGGTCTCTCTCTCTCTCTCTCTCTCTCTCACACACACACACACACACACATACACACACAGACACACACGGGAATGCCCCAAAGTGCCTCCAACGGCAACAAGGGCGTGCCGAAAAGATGGATGGTACCGGTAGGGGCATCTCGAAAATTTGTCCGTTGGCTTTTAATGGCCATCCGGTAGGGGCATCCCACGAATTACTGACTGGTACCGCTAGGGGCGTCACGTAAAGATTTGAGGCCCAAAGGACACCGGGGTCTATTCGAAAATTTCAACCCTTCTCAGAGGGGTGCGACAGAGTAAACCGGCCGTCGGAGGGGCGCGACGCGAATTATCGCAGAATACAGGGGCGCCAGACAAATTGTCCCAAAAAAAACTAAAAATAAAAAAATCAACCTAGGGGTCGAACCTTCGGCGACACCAATCCAAACGGACTTTGTAGGTCCAGATGCCAATCAACCCGAAGGATGAGCTGTACGGCTAGCAGGCCGCTTGAATCCTGTACAGTATATTGGAGCTCGATCGATGGACGGTAAGGCTAGAGGTTCGCTGGACTGTGCTTTTCCGCGGAGAAGTTACATAGATCCGGGCGCTGTTTCTCGAGGAAGTATCGCCAATGCTCAGTCGTCCCCGAGGGAGTGTAGACATGCTTCGTGCTTTCCTGCGCCGGCGACCTGCTAAGAGCCAACGCTGTCGTCGGTCGGAAGGGCGGGGACCGATAGCTTGGGAAGCCACCCAAGGGGGCGCGTATCGTCGGAGCTGGCGGGAGTTGTCATCGGCGCGCCCCAGAGGAGGATGCCTTGTAGCAGCCAGTCAACTGGGCACATATCGTTGTAGTTGGCGGGATGTTTCATCGGCGCGCCCGAGCGGAGGATACCATGTAGTGCGAATGGCGGGAATTGGTATGTGAGGATGCCATCGCCGGAATTGGCGGGATCAGTTGTTGTACGGCTCGCGTGGTGCGGTTCAACTTTCTTCTGAACGGCAAAGCGAGATAGATAGGGTGAGTTCCTGAGCGAGTGTCTCGATGAAGGGCATCATCACACCACTCTGGAAACGTGCAAAATGAGATAGTTTGCACTCTCCCAAGATTCACCACTCTCGCATTTCTCGCGCATGCTGAATCGGGAGTGGCGAATCTTCCCGCGCTTGGCGAATCGGGAAGATTCGCCACTCGGAGTGGCGAATCTTCCCGCACATGCTGAATCGGGAGACTCGCTTTCTTGAGCGCGTTCCACAATTCTTGGCGCTCAGTTCCCGCGCTTCGTTCGTGCTTTCCGAAAAAGAACTGTCACCCGCGTGCGGGCGTCTGGGGTTCAGAGCGCAGCATCCGAAATAGTCGGAAAGGCGGGAATTGCTAGCGGTAGGTAAGGTTTCCCGCCAACGGGGCGCGTATCGTCAGAGTTGGCGGGATGTTCGACACTGAATTTTGATGGGCAATCTCAGAGCGAAGGACGCCATGTAGTGCGACAGGCGGGAGGATCGAGAGCGTAGGGTGCCAATCAACCGGTCGCTTATCGTCCGGGTCGTCGTGGATGCGAGTCGCAAAGGTACATAGATGTGGAGACTCGCTGAGCGAGTTTTGACATGCTTTGAAGTATAAAAAGCGCTCGTCGTTCTCATCCAGAGCGGAGGATACCATGTAGCTCGAAAGGCGGGAGGAACGAGGTGCGTAGGATGCCAATCAACCGGTCGCTTATCCTTCGAGTTGGCGGGATGACCTCTGCGGCTAGTATAGTCCGGTTCACTGTGCTTGGGAGTCGCAAAGCCTCTGCCATGCTTTGAAGTATGAAAAGCGTCCGTTGTTCTCATAGTCTAAGAGCCGTTGAAGTAGAAGATACAGGCGAGATGGCATCTCAACCCGTCATCGGGATTGACCTGGGAACCTCATTTTGCTGCGTGGCAATCTACCGCGACAACAAAGTCGAGATTGTGCCCAACAAGGTCGGCCCGCGTATTACGCCTTCCTATGTAGCCTTCGATGCAAGGTCCTGTTATACGGGCGAGGCCGCGATGATGCGAGCAGCGCGAGATCCCAAGCAGGGCGTTTTCGAAGTCAAGCGGCTTATGGGGAGATCCATCCACCACCCGAATGTCGAGGAGTACAAGAAGGCTTGGCCGTTCGAAGTTGTGGCGGGACCGCGCAACGGAGTCCGCATCAAGATTCCCCGCGTTCCGAGCAAATTTGGCGCGGGATTGTTCAAACCGGAGGAAATCTCCACTATTTTGCTGAGGGAAATGAAGGAGATTGCCGAGACCTTCGCGGGCGAATTGCCAATCAGGGATGCTGTGATCACCGTTCCCGCCTACTTCAATAACAGTCAGCGGGAAGCGACGATGGACGCAGGGCGTGGAGCGGGGCTCAACGTGCTGCGACTGATGAACGAACCGACGGCGGCGGCCGTGGCTTACAGACATCAACGGCTGATAGGGGAGGGGGGCGCGGGAAGGAAGATCATGGTATTTGATCTGGGCGGCGGGACGTTCGATGTTTCCATCATGGCGGTGGATGGATCATGCGCGGAAGGCGGCTTTGTCGTCAAGGCGGTCGAAGGCTGTTCGGACCTCGGAGGTGCCGATTTCGACAACAGGCTCGTTAGCAGGGTGGCGGCGGAGTACCGGCGACAGAATGATCGCGACCTGCTCGCCGATCCAAGGATTCTGCCGATACTCAGAGAGAAAGCTGTCATGGCGAAGCACATTCTGTCTGACGCCGCGGACACTGTAATTGAACTATACTGCAGATCAATAGACTTTACTATGAGAATAGATCGATGCGAGTTTGAGGCGCTTAACGACGACCTATTCGAGAAGTGCATCTCCACTGTCAAGAAAGCTCTTCAAGCGGCAGGGCTCACCAAACATGAGATCTCCGAGGTGGTTCTGGTGGGCGGTTCCACGCGAATCCCAAGGGTCCAAGAGCTGCTGACGAAGTTCTTCGATGGGAGAAAGCCGATAAAGACCGTTCATCCTGACGAGGTCGTCGCGTACGGGGCGGCGCTGCAGGCGGCCGTGCTGTCTGACCAAGTTCGAGCTGAGGATAAGCCGGACATAGCTGTGCACGATGTCACGGCGATGAGTATCGGTGTGCTGGTCCATCCAGGCGAATTTAGGGTCCTCATTCCCAAGAACTCTCGCATTGAGGCGACGGCGGAGATCGAAGGTATTTGCTCGAAGGACTACCAAACATCGGTGGAATTCAAACTGTACGAAGGGGAGCGCGCTTTGTGCCGACAGAACCGTTTTCTGGGCGATTTCAAGCTGGAGGGCTTCACCCCGTCGCCAGCAAATGGAAGACCGGTGATGAAACTTGTCCTGAAGGTCGATTACGACGGCATTCTCGATGCCACAGCGCACGCGACTGCGGATCACGAAGAGCGTGGGAGGACGGTGGGGCTAAGGGTCAGCGTTGGACAAGGGACGTTCAACAAAGAAGGGGCCGATGCCGTAGCCAACGCCGCGTCAGATGCGAACGCAGAAGAGGAGGACAAGGCGATGCGGGCCGTCTTCCAAGCTCGACGAGATCTTAGGACTCTTTTGTGGGATTTACGGGACAGTTACTTTGCAAGGTTGTGTCGTTTTGAAAGAGACAGGGTGACGACCTTGTTGCGATGGTTAGCGGCTGAGGAAGATTACGCAGCGGCGGCGGCTTACGAAAGATATACTATAGAGCTAACGAATGTCAAAACGGCTTTAATCTCTTGTCGATAGGTCTCCGTCTTCACAAACACCGCCTCTCGGAAATCTGAGTCTGTTGGAAGGTTTGGCACCGACTGTGGAAAAAAATAGCTGTTTATAACCACTCGTAGAATCCCGTCAGAAGTGCAAACTCGTCTTTTTTTTGCATGTACCAACAATGTATCAGTAAATGCTTCATGCCATCGCCGATTCAGCGTTTTGTCCAAGGTAGATAGTGTCAAGGGTAGATTTCAAAAATTGCGCGTGGCACACGTACATCTCAGAGAGAGACAAATGTCTAGAAATTTGTAATTAGCGGATGAAAAACTCCGCATTAAAAAAAAAAGTAAAATTGCGCGTGGCGGTAGTTTCACAGCAAAAATATTGGCGGGGCCCAAGTTTCGTTGCGAAATATATATCTGTCGTTGCAGCTTTAGAGGTCCCGGTCGTTTCACAGCAAAAATATTTGCAGGCGAAGTTTCACTTTCCTTGCAAAAATAGATCCTTCCGACCCGTACAACATTTCTGCTGCGAAACTTGGAAAACAAAAAAAACAAAAAAACAAAACAAAAAAAAAAAAAAAACCTTGGAAAACGCGCTATTTCTGCAATTACCCCTACCTAGTGTGAATCCGCCCGCGTGCTTGCGCGCGTGGTTGTGTCTGTGGGGGCGTGATTGCGCGCGCGCTCGTATGTACTGTAGCGTTTTTGGTTGCGAGTGCACGCGCTGTAGCGCTGTTGATAGAGAAGGCAGATGCGGTAAGAGGAGAGAGAGGGGCGAGAAAAGGGAGGTCAGGGTCGGAGATGAAGTCCGCCGATCACGTCCATGTACATACCGTTCTTTACAATCGGGGAGATGATGCCTGGATGGGTCGGAAATGGACCATGGAAGACGGGTGTTGGACTTCTTCGGTGAAGTTCGGTCCAATACAAAAGCAGGGATCCATGATCTTCGCTTGTTCTATACGGTTCAAATCTCTCGAGGGAGTTTAGGATGTACTGGACGCTCGCAGTGCACAGAGTGCCTCACTTTTTTTTTTTTTTTTTTTTTTT